ATGGTCTACATGGTCGACATCTTCATATACTTTGGTTGTTGCTGCTGACGTCAACAGGTTGCATTGTCAATTTGTAGGCTGGTTAGTAGTTGTGTGATTGTAGTCTGGCTGTTGAGCGCCAAGTAGGAGGAAGGGCTCTGGATACATACGTTGGTGGTGGCGAGAGTATGCTCTCATTGACATTTTGATTCAGTGCTTTGGTTGTCCAATGGTGGAATATCAGTGCATATCTGCTTTCTGGAAAGCGTTCCGACTTTCTGGCTTTCAATGTGATTTTGCATTCTGGAATACTGTCATTTCGCTATCGCTCATTTTCCTTGCAAATGCAAGTAAATGGCTTGAAACTCTAGGACTCAAACTACAAAACAATTTCATAGGAAACCGTGGAACAACAGGCGCAATTAGAGAAATGTAATCTCAATAATTTCCTAGGAGTCTCTAGGAAATTCGTACAGTTTGTTAGATAGTGGAAGAAGGCCCTTACACCACACTTTTATGAATGAGCTCTGGACATAATTACAGTCCTGGTGCACCCGGCGCGGCAGGGATTTGGAGCGCCATTTGGCTTTTTACTAGTTTTTAGTATTTACAATAATGACCAAAATGCCGATGACAAGGAGGTGAAGGAGAAGTAAAACACTGACAACAAGGATGATGATGTTGAGGGAGAATACTATGACATGATGATAATGATGATGAAAATGATGATGATTATGGCAATGTTGATAATTATGCCAATGATTGGGGTACTTACCCAGGTGCAATGACTTGCTGTTTCCCTACAGGCAGGTCTCTCGGTTAGTCCTCAGCCAAACAAAATTACGAATCTACCCCTGACTATGGTACAGCCTCATCAGAGTGAGCTACAGGCAGCACGGAAACAGCAAGTCATTGCAGACCTACCCTCCCCCGGAGCGAGGACCTCCGAGCTAGGGGCGTAGGCGTGCAGAACGTCGAAGGGGCTCTCCCTTCTGCGCAGCCTCATATTTGAGGATCACAGACTTTGCTGTTTTTAGGAGCTCCTTGCGAGTGAACCAGCGATCCTCAATATGGGGCTGGTAGAGGAACTTCACAAGGTACTCCTTATCCAGGCCTGTACCATACTCATCCACAACTTCTTCCACCTCGTATCCCTTTCCAGGGATTGGGGGACCGAACTGTGGAGGCCTGTCTGGAAATGCACCAGCTGGCGTAAAAGGCAACAACTTAGATGCATGGAAGACAGGGTAGGTTTGTAGATGCAGTGGGACATCTACATGATAGGATGGCCCAAAAGGGTCAGCCCCCAGTGTATCCAAAACCTGCCATGGACCCATATAGCGCGGCAGCAGCTTAGGTGAGATGTCCTCCTCCCGCGATAGCTCAGAACAGAGTACCCAGACCCAGTCACCAACGCGAATGGGGGATGGTCGACGATGCTTGTTAGCCTGCTGAATCATTGCCTTTTGGGCTTTGAGCAGGTTAACTCTGGCTCGTTCGATGTCCCTCTGGTACTGTCTGGTAAACTCTGCAGTCCTAGGAGTCAGTCTGGGGGTAGCCTTGTCGATGATATCATCGAGAGGCTGCCGTGGCTCATGCCCCCAGTGCAACCGGTAAGGGGTGAACCCTGTGGAGGAGTGTACAGACGTGTTGTACACTAGCTGTGCCCGTCCTAGATGGAGATCTCAATCCTGCTGATCAGGGTTGATCACAGGACGCAGCAACTGAAGCAGAATCGCTCTGGAGCAACTTAAACTTTTAATTGGTTCTTTGTGAGGAATACACAGTTTTTCTTCGGTTTTATCTATAAAGAAGAGTGAGCCATCAGTCATTTGATACTCTGGGAATAGTTCAGGGTTCTTTCTCAGAGTCTCGATAATAAGACTCMAGATGGAATCATTTTCATAACCCTTTCTTATCTGTTCCTTTAATTCATTCCCAATATCGATATAAGAGACAATCGTTCCAAAGAAAAATCTGCACGCCTGGACAAAACATCCGCAACCACGTTAGACTTACCTTTGATGGTTTTCACCTCAAAGTCAAATGTATTAAGAAATGCGGACCACCTTACCAACTTGTCAGAGAGTCTAGGCTGAGTCTTGATCCACTTCAAAGTAGAGTGATCAGAGTAGACAGTGAAATGCATTTCCAACAAGTARTGTTTCCAGGTATCTAGTGCAGTGACTAAGGCGTACAACTCCCTTTCATATGTGGAGTTGGCGACTTTCTCTTACGAAAGTCTTCTGGACATAAACTCAACAGGTCTATATCCCTTGCCGTCGTCTTGCTGTAGCACAACGCCAATCCCATACTGACTTGCGTCAGTCGTGACGATGAAAGGAAGAGAAGGGTCAGCAATCTTTAAGACAGGGTAGTGAGTCAAAACAGATTTCAGTTTCTTGAATGATGACTCACAATCTTTGTCCCACAACCAAGGTTTTTCTTTCTTTAGCAGTCTTCTCATAGGAGCAATTATCAAGGAGAAGTTCCTGACGAACTTCCTATAATAACTAGCAAGTCCTAAGAAAGATCTGAGTTTAGTTATAGTTTTAGGTTGTGGCCAATCTTGGATTGTTGTAATCTTCTTTTCTTCTGGTCTTAGTCCTTCTTCATTCACTATATGTCCTCCTAAGTATAATACTTCAGGCTTAGCAAATTCAGACTTCTTATGATTCAGTTTGAAGTTACCCTCACGTAACTTCTGGAGAACCGTTTGCAGATGTTTCTCGTAGTCTTCCAGTATTTTACTGTACACTAGGATATCATCGAGATAGACAATTACGAATTGATCCAACCATTGACGAAACAACTCATTCATAGACCTCTGGAAGGTTGCAGGGGCGTTAGTCAAACCAAAAGGCATTACCACAAACTCGTAGTGACCATACCTTATTCGAAACGTCGTCTTGTGTTGATCTTCAGGAGCCACCTCAATTTGGTGGTACCCTGACTTGAGATCAATCTTGCTGAAGTACCTGCATCCCTGTAGTTGGTCTAACAGATCGTCAATGCGCGGAAGAGGTTCCGCGTTTTTCACAGTGACAGAATTCAGCCCACGATAATCAATACATAAACGAAGTTCACCCTCCTTTTTAGGCACGAATAAGACAGGCGCGCCATAAGGAGATGAGCTAGGGCGAATCCATCCTTTGTCAGTAAGTTCCTGCAACTGCTTTCCCAGTTCCTCAAGTTCCCTAGGAGACATTTGGTAGATGGGACCCTTGGGAATCTTGCTTCCGAGAATGATCTCAATCGTGTGCTTAATAGCACGCTCGGTGATTCCCGTCGGCTCAGTCTGCAAGTCCTTGTATTCATTAAGAAGTTTGTCAATAGAAGGTGGGTAAGAAGAAGAACACTCGCCGACTCGTTTGACGAGCACCATCATCACCTCATGAGCCAACTTCTTCTTAGTAACCATCGATCGAAAAACTGGGTAACTCATACAATAGAAAGACAGAGTAGAGTCGGAGCCAGACTTATGATACAACTTTATCGCTCGCAGTTCGGACTTCTCGTCCTTGAGTTTGACAATTTTATCTTTGAACTTAACTTCTGGGTCGGCTTCCTCATGCCAATCCATACCCAGAATTAAGTCAAAGGGTAAATTCTTCTCTATAAGGAAGGATACCTCATGTAAAATCTTCTTACCTTCCTTGGTTTTGAAGTAACACTTGACACGATCGACGTATTGAGAGACAGTGATCGTGCTCTTATCAGCCAGTATAGACGTGGTAGGTCTAGGTAAATCCTTTACCTTCATTCCTAGATGCAATTTTCGAATTGCCTTCTCTGAGATATAAGACCGCGTCAATCCCGGATCTAACAAAGCACCTACTCGTGTGTGCGCAATCTCAAC